TATTTTGTTTAAAATTTTTGCATCTATATTCATTAGAGAAATTGGTCTATAATTTTCTTTCTCTATTTTGACTCTTCCTGGTTTAGGTATCAACACCATATTTGTATCATAAAAAGAATTTGGTAAGACTCCTTCTTCACCTATTTTCCCAAATAGTCTATATAGTATTGGAATTAATTGTTCTTTAAATGTTTGATAGAATTCGCATGTAAATCCATCTGGCCCTGGAGATTTTTTCCTAGGGAGTTCATCAATGGCTTGTTCAATTTCTTTTTCTGAGATGGGGTTATTTAAGTATTTTACTTCCTCTTCGTTAATCTGGGCAATTTATATTTTTGTAAATATGTATCCATTTCACTAAGATTGTCAAATTTGTTGGCATATAGTTGGGCAAAATAATTCCTAATTATTGTTTTAATTTCCTCTTCCTTGGTGGTAGCTTCACCCTTTTCATTCTTGATACTAGTAATTTGGTTTTCTTCTTTCTTTTTTTTAATTAAATTAACCAAAGGTTTATCTATTTTATTGGTTTTTTCATAAAACCAGCTCTTAGTTTTATTTATTAGTTCAATAGTTTTCTTAATTTCAATTTTTTAATTTTTCCTTTGGTTTTCAATATTTCTAATTTGGTGTTTAGTTGAGGATTTTTAATTTGTTCTTTTTCTAGTTTTTTTAGTTGTATGCCCAATTCATTAATCTCCTCTTTTTCTATTTTATTTATGTAAGCATTTAGAGATATAAAACTTCCCCTAAGAACTGCTTTTGCTGCATCCCATAGGTTTTGGCATGTTGTCTCATTATTGTCATTCTCTTGAATGAAATTATTGATTGTTTCTATGATTTGTTGTTTGACCCAATCATTTTTTAGGATTAGATTATTTAGTTTCCAATTATTTTTTAGTCTATCTTTCCATGGCCCTTTATTACATATAATTTTTATTGCATCATGATCTGAAAAGGATGCATTTAATATTTCTGCCTTTCTGCATTGGATTGTGAGGTTTTTATGCCCTAGTACATGGTCAATTTTTGTGTATGTGCCATGTACTACCGAGAAAAAAGTATATTCCTTTCTATCCCCATTCAGTTTTCTCCAGAGGTCTATCATACCTAACTTTTCTAATGTTCTATTCACCTCCTTAACTTCTTTCTTGTTTATTTTGTGGTTAGATTATCTAGTGCAGAGGGGGAGGTTCAGGTCCCCCACTAGTATAGTTTTGCTGTCTATTTCTTCCTGTAACTCCCTGAACTTCTCTGTAAGAATTTGGATGCTATACCATTTGGTGCATATATGTTTAGTAATGATATTACTTCATTGTCTATGGTGCCTTTTAGCAGGATGTAGTTTCCTTCCTTATCTCTTTTGATTAGATCTATTGCTTTATCTGAGATCAGGATTGCTACCCCTGCTTTTTTCTTCAGCTGAAGCATAATATATTCTGCTCCAGCCTTTTACCTTTACCCTGTATGTGTCACTCTTTTTCAAATGTGTTTCCTGTAAACAACATATTGTAGGATTATGGTTTTTAATCCATTCTGCAATCCGTTTCCGTTTTATGGGAGAGTTCATCCCATTCACATTCACAGTTATGATTACTATCTGTGTCTTTTTCTCCATCCTTTCCCCCCATTTATGCTTTTCTTTCTCCTTTTTCCTTTCCCCCCTTCACTAGTGTTTTGCTTTTGACCACCGCCTCCTTCAGTCCCTCCTCCCTTTTATTATCCCTTTTCCTTTTCTTCCCCTTTACTCTTACTGCTTCCCCCTCTCCCTTTTCTTTCCCCCTTCCCTTTTCTTTCCCCTTTTCCCTCCTACTGCCTATAGGGCAAGTTAGATTTCTATACCTAACTGATTATGTTATGCCCTTCTTGAGCCAAATCTGATGAGAGTAAGGTTCAAACAATGCTCCCCCCTCCCTTCTTTCCCTCTGCTGTAATAGGATTTTGTGTCTTTTCCTGTAATGTAATTTACCCTTGTCTGCCTCCTCCTTTCTCAGTATATTTTCTAAGATCAGATTGATCCACTTATTAGGATCCATTTAACCCACTTGATTAGATTTTTTTTTATCATTACATCAAAGTAAACTAATATCCACCCTATTTATGTATACTTCTTTAACATGGTGTAATAACAGTACAGTTCTCAAGGGTTGCAAGTGTCATATTCCCTTGTAGGGGGTTAAACAGCCCCCCCCATTAACAACATATTGTATCTTTCTGTCCCATTTACCTTTTTATGTACTTCTTGAGTCCTGTACTTGAAGATCAAATTTTCTGTTGAGCTCTGGTCCTTTTATCAGGAAAGTTTGGAAGTCTCCTATTTCGTTGAATATCCATCTCCTCCCTTGAAAAATGATGCTCATTTTTGCTGGGTGGTTGATCCTTGGCTGCATTCCAAGCTCCTTTGCCTTACGGAATATCATATTCCACGCCCTGCGGTCTTTTAATGTAAAAGCTGCAAGGTCCCATGTAATCCTGACTGAACACACCAGATATTCTTATAGAGGAGGTAAAAAATGTCACTAAAGGAACAAAGTGGGAAAAGCAGCTAGACTGAACCAAGTATATACAGAGGAGATATATACTTGATTAGACTAAATTGTGAAGGCATTGAAGAACCAGAATAGACAACATATCTGAAAGAGGGGAAGATACTAAAAGGCAAGGGAAAAAAGTCTCAGACTTTATTAATATAGGGGGAAAAAAACAATTAAGAGAACTACAATAACTGTTGATTTATATGCCTACTTTTCCATTTATAAAAATGTTGTACAAGATTCATCTCAGTCAATATACAGTTATTAAGCATCTGCTACGTACCAGTAACTGTGCTAAATACAGTAGATATAGAGTAGGGCAAAAGACAGTCCCTGCCCTCAAGTACCTAACAAGCTGAAGAAGCAGAGAACATGTAAGCAACTGTGTACAAACAAGCTATATACAGGATAAACTGGAAATAATAGAGGGAAGGTATTAGAATTAAGAGTGATTGGGAAAGGCCTCCTGTTGGGAATCCTTGACAAGAATCTTAATAAGAAAGAAGCAGACTTTCTCAAGCAACATTCAGCCATGGATCATATATATCATTTTACAATTGTTGTTCATCCTTCTTCTTCTTCTTCTTCTTCTTTTTGCTTTTTGGTGAGGCAGTCCAGGTTAAGTGACTTGCCTGGGGTCACACAGCTAGTAAGTGTCAAGTGTCTGAGGCTAGATTTGACCTCAGGTCCTTCTGACTCGGAGGCTGGAGCTTTAATCACTGCCCCACCGAGCTGCCCCCACATCCTTCATTTTCAAAGAGGACCAGTGACATTATAGGTTAATGTCTTGACTTTCTCAAGAATTAGATCTAAGTGAGGCAGAGCTGCACAAAGCCATCAGCCTCACTCTCTTCTAGTCATAGAATCCAGTGTCAAGACAAAAGTCAGCAGATGTAGGGATGATCTTGGTTCTAAGAGTACAGCGCCTGCTTCAGCTGCCTTCATGGCTGTTGAAAACAAATAGTTCTTATCTACCCATTTTGCCAGGGGAAGTCTTCACGTGCTTGTGGTAGACATCCCCCTAACTCACCAACGAGTTTGAAAGCCCTCCATTACCCTCAACCTGGTTTAGAAAATCTGCCAAAATGGTTTTACTGGGGTGTGGCTGCTGCACATACTACAGCTTCTTGTAGCCACAGAGTAGGGTGAAGGTGGACACCAAAAGTGAATAAGCAGCCTTGAAAAGTGCTCAGCAACCCCTGACAGAAGAGGAGCTAGACCTCCCTGAAAAGAATATAACATCCTATTGTACTTATTGTATGTTGACTATCAAATATTTTTGATTCAGTAGAACACTGTCTTCAAGGCTCTTTTATAACAAGATGTCTCCTATCTATATATCAGAATAATTCTAGATTGGTTGGAACATGTAATGCTGAAATAACCCTGTTCAAAAACCCTTTAATAATGAATATCAGGCATAAAACAGGGAGATGTATGCTTGCCAAAGATATTTGCCGCTGTAATAGATGAGAACCAGTTCAGGTCAAAGAGTAATTGTCCTCTGTGGAGGGTGAGGTCTTCCAGATGTTTGCATATAACATTATGCTTCGAATTAAAAAACCTTTACTAGCTAGACCAGAGGCAGCCCATTCCACATTGAATGGCTCTTAGATAACACTTCTAAAGTGCTTTGCAAACCTTAGAGCACAGTCTAAATGCCAGCTGGGGCTGCTGCATGACTTAGTGGATAAAATTCGGGGACTTGAGTCCGGGAGACTCATCTTCCTGAGTTCAAATGTGACCTCAAACACTTACCAGCTGTGTGACCCAGGGCAAGTCGCTTAACCCTGTTTGCCTGAGTTTCATCTGTAAATTTCATCTGTAAATTTAAATGAGCTGAGAAGGAAATGGCAAAATACTCCAGTATCTTTCCCAAGAAAACTCCAAATGGGGTCACAGAGCTGGACATGACTGAACAACAACAATTAATGATAATGATAATTGATAGGAAGTTTTCCTTTTCATGGGGTCATAATCTAGAACTTGCTACTTAATCAATAAGCGTTTATGTAAGCCAACATCGTGTGCTCGGTACTGTAGGTACAAATATAAAGATCAACAGTCCCTACCCTCAAACTTACATTCTAGTGGTTACCAGATAGTAAATTGAAATTTATAAAGGTTATCGAGGAATCAAAGATTTAGAGCTGTAAGAGGTCAATTGCCACCTGAAGGATGTCTCTATTTATGGGCTAACATCCAAACTAGGTGCCTAAAACCAAAATGAGCGTAAGGTTTGTAAAAGGCAGACACTTTCTTGAGGGAATTTAGATCTCTCTTCCCCTGAAGGGGAAGATGCCTGGAGAAAACAAAGGCCAGCTCTTGAGATTTAAATCCCCCTTTTCCCCAAAGGGAATAAAACCAGAGGAAGACAATGCCTGTGAAATTAAATAAAGGCTTTTATTTAGCAAGGAAGAAAAAAACCCACATGTGCATGGGCACTGTGCAGCCTGTGCTGAACAGGACACCAGGTAATGGATGGTAAGAGTTTATATACCTTTTAAACAAAGGAAGGTAAAAAATTTGGGGGAAAGATGGGCTTAGAAAGGAATGAGTCAGTGAGCACCCCATGCCCAACAGGAGAGGGAGAGTGAAGAGTTCTTGGTGTCTGAGCTATGGTCCTTTGATACACAAATTAGAAGGCATTCTTGGCAATAAGCAGTCCACAGTTCAGTGCTTGATAAGGAGAGGTCTCCCCAAAATAGGATATTCTGAGAGCCCCCTAATCAAAATTACAGGAGTCTCTAGAGACAATGTTGTCTCCAAAAGCCATAAAACACAGATGTGTCCAAGAGTCCTATAACCTACAGTCAGGAAAGTCTTTGAAGATAAGGATGTCTCTTGAAGGTCCATAAACCACCAAATGGCTCAGGGTCTGCTTCAAAGCTGGTCACTGCAAAGGATTGTTGGTATGTCAAGTCACTCTTCATCTTAGTTAATAAAGCCAGTCCTCATATAGCTCTTCTCCATTACTTGGATAATTGGGGAGCTCAAGCACAAAATCATTTGTACAGATTTGGGAAGCCAGAAGTGAGAGTTGAAACTAGGGGGTGCCCAGCTTTCGGCAGACTTGGAGTTGAAAGGGTAGTGCAGTGTGTTTGAATTTATAACTCAGGCTGCCCATACTCTTTCTAGGAAAGGTCAGAAGGCCTGAAGAGTGGCTTAAATAATAATAACGATGGTTAGCATTTATATAGCTTCCAGGTTAGCTAAGAGCTTTACATACATTATGTCACTGAGCCGGAGTCTAGGGTTCTTGGTGGAGGAGGTGGGGGAAGGGCTGTAAGAGCAGGAGGGGGAAGGCGTCAAGTCGGCGTATACCCACTCTAGGGCAAGAGACAATGCCGGGAAAGCTATAGCCCGGTCATGACCCCTAGGCCACCGTTATCCTTCACTTCCGGGTTGCTCCCTTTTTATTTCCCCCACCCCAATTCTCGGGGGGGGGCGCTACCCCGTTCTAGGGGGCGGGAATGCGCGTGCGACCCTTTCCAGCGTGCCCGCCTCCTTTGACCCGCGCCTGGCTAAGAGCGAGGGAGCGCATGCGCACGTAGCCCTCCGCCCGCCCCCGCTAGGTGCCAGGTGAGTGCGCGTGCCACAGAGAAAGAGGCAGGAGGGAGGCGGGAGCTACCCTGCGGCTGGGCGAGCCGCGGGAGGATGGGAAAATAGAGGCAGCCCAGTGTCTGTGGAGGCGAGCGGGGAGGAAGAGGCGGTTCGGGGCGGAAGTGGTTCCGGGTCCCCGCGGCTACAGCTTGCAGCTTCAGCCCCGGCAGCCTCAGAAGCCGCCGGGACCTGGGAGCGGGTGGAGGTGGTGTCGGCGGCCGAGGAAAAGACGCTGCGGAGCTGGAGGCGGCCGCGGCCTCCCGGGACTTCCCCTCCCTGTTCTCGGGGACTCCGCGGTGAGCCGCCCGAGCCCAGCCGGCCGGGGTCCAGGGAGGGGGCTGGGCGCGGCGGCCCGTAGAGGGCCGGGACCCCCGCCCCCGCTGGACGGGTGGGCCAGGTGCGTGGGGGCCACGGAGGGATGGAGAGAGAGGAGGGCGCAGGCGGCGGCTGCACTTGGGGGCGTAGCTGGTGAGTGTGTACACACTGACGTTGTCGCTGTTGCGTGTGTTGTTTTTTTTTTTGCCTCCTTCGCATTAGATTTGTCCCTCACTATCCTACCATCGCATCCTCATCTTTCCCTTTCCTGGGGGTTGGGGGTGGGGAAGTTTCGGGCAAGTTTCTTCGAGGCCAATTTCGGCCCTTGCAGGTGGTGGTCCCGGCGCAGTGAGTAGAAGGAGCGCTTGACTTGGAGCCAGGTTCAAATCCTTCTTTATACACTTCCTCTGCTTGCCCTCCTCGGCTAGTCGCTTTACGTCTCGTCAGCCTCATCCATGAAACGGGGATAACAGCACTTACCTCCCGGGGTTGAGGATCCAACGATAAACACTGTGTGAACCTTAAAGCATTTATATCATCATCATTAATTATCGTTATTACTCCTAATTTCTCGTGGGGGAATGGGGGTAGGAGGCTGTCCACTGGGTTCTCTTGCCCCAGTGCGGCCAGACGGAGGTCAGTGAGTTCCCACCCTTCTTCATTCTTCCGCAGCTCGGAGTACCCGAGGACTGGGAACATTTTGCTGGGCAGCTTTGGCAGCTCGGAGGTGTTAGGGAGCATGTCCTTGTCCCTGGGGGAGTTAACCTGCTTCGAGCCTACAGAGTAAGTAGTGGCGGTTTGGGGAGGGTCAGGCTGGGGGGTAGGGATGCGACAAGATACCGAAACTTAGGGGATGAAGCTAAAAGTAGTTCTTAAAGGGGGAAAAAAATTGATCTCTAAATTAGCTTTCCTCACCCAAAGAACGGATGAATCAATGAAGTGGGCTTGCAACTAAAAAGACTAGAACAAACCGAAAATCCCCAACTGAGCAACAAAAGTAGAAATGTTGAAAATTTTAAAGGATCAATAAAACAGAAAGGGCAACCGAAGTGGTTCTACTTAAGAAAGACAATGTGGCATCACTTTTTTTCATTGCTTGTGAAAAGTTAGTCCCAAGTTATGAGAGCTATTATTATGCCATTGTATAAGGTAACACCTGAAATTTTTTGAATGGCTAAAATTTCCTCTTGTGAGTGTACAGTATAATTTTGAGGGATGGGAATGGTTTGTGCTGCAATTGATATGTGGAACAAAAAGTGATGAGAGGAAGAAAATTTATATTAAAGAATTTAAAGGGCTTCCACAGGAACTCTAAGGGAACCAAAAGGAGAAGATATTCCTGGGATTTTGTAGCTATTTCCCTAGATTTCTTTTTTAAAGTAAAATGTAACTACATCTCTTTATATCTTCCTTTTTTATAGAATACAAACAAAAAAATAGAATGGTCACTAAGTATTTTATTTTGCACCTCCCTTCTGCGAATTTTTTTGTAGTACTTTAGTTAGTTTAGTGAGTGGAAGGTGCTTCAAGGTCCATAGGAGTAGTAGAGTAACAGAGAGGAAATATTTTGGTTGTTGAATTGCAATTTGGCTGTTAATTTTTTACATTGAATCTTGAGTCGGTGTGTTAATGTGTGTTTATCTTTCTAGTATGTATAGCTATTAAAAATCCTTTTCCTGTAAAAATCTATTACTGCAACCATCAGAAAAAGGCAGAATTTTAGACATAGATTAATAGTTCTGTGATAATATACTACTTTGCAGCTGTGAATTGGAGTGCCTTTCTCTAGTTCACTAGTTTCTTTATTAGTTTCAGTATTAATAATTAAGGTTGATAGAGTGTTTTAAGGTTTGCCAAGAGCTTTCCATACATTATGTCTTTTGAGTTTCATAACAATCCTTTGGGTAGGAATGAAGATGGGAGGGATCTGTGATGTTGTTGGTAGAGGAAACTTCTGGTTGATAAAACTTCTACCAGTTGAGGTTGGCGTCTTATGGTTATAGATAAGGAGTTATTAAAATTTTTTGTTTCATGTATCCTTTGGTAATCTGAATGAGGCCTGTGAACTCTTTCCCAGAATAATGTTTTTAAAAGTGTGTTACAAAGGAAATTAATGATATTGAAGTTATCCAAAAAAATTTTTTTTTTAAGTTTACGGACTCTAGATTGAAAACACCTGTTTGTCCCCATTCCCCCCCCAATGCCCTAAGCATTGAGAGGTTAGTGACTTGCCTAGGGTCATACTACGGGTACATGTAAGCGACAGGACTTACCCAGGGCTTCTTGACTTTGAAGCCAGCTCTTTATCTACTATTCCAGGTTGCCTTTTGAAGTAGGAACTTCTTCCTACCTCTTTATTTAATTGAATTTATATAATTTATTACCTTTTTTTTTCTAACACAAATAAGGGAACTAAGTGCTTAAGACTGGCTTATGAATATAGAGTAAATAATTCAAAGATAGGATTTGAACCCAAATAATTCCTGATGTCAGGGCTTTATGACTTCTACCCATGTTTCCTCTGCTGTATTGATTTTATATGTCAACTTAATTTTCATTTTTAGTTCACACCAGTTTATGGATATATGAATGTTTTCTGACTACAGATCACAAAATCCATATAATGGTCCACTCTGGCAATGGAGTTAAATTCTTGAGACATCTGCTGGAAGTTTCATTTCTCTAAAAGCAAAACATCTGTTGAATTTTTATTTTCTTTGCTGAGGGAATTTTGGATTTAATCATGGCCAACTAGAAAGAACAGTTTTGTGATACATTAATATTAGTAACTGGGAGAAAGTTACTGTCATCTTGTGGTTTGTACCAGCTGGGAAAAGAAATAAAATCAAGTATAGCTGGATTTATATTTGAGATTTTAGGAAAGCAGATTTTAAAACTCTAGGGGAAGTAAAAGCTGGACACTGAGATGGGAGATGCTAAAGGAAAAGTAATAAAGCACCTACTATATGCCAGGCACTGTGTTAAGTGCTTTACAAATATCTTGTTTGAGCCTTACAACAACACTGGGAGGTAGTTTCTGGTTATTATCTCTATTTTATGATTGAGGAAACTGAAGCAAACAGGTTAAGTGATGTACCCAGGATCACATAACTGGGAAGTATCTCAGATCATTTATGGACCCAGGTCTCCCTGTCTTCAGGGGGAAGTACTCTAGCTGGGCCAGGTAGGTGTCAATGAAATGTTTACTCTATAGTCATTGGGGATTCCAAAGAGAGTAAAATGGTAAGCTACAAAGGCCAGGATGAGTTTAATTGCTTAGGAGCATGTGATCTTTGGTTTTAAAAGTAGTTTTTACCAAAAATTCACCTTCTTGGGAGTGATAGCCCTCTAAAGCTGGAATTCTTACTCTGGGCTCCTCACTGTCCTCATTGGTGACAAGGAGCATCACATGACCTTCTTCATCTAGCCAGCATCAACTGTGCTTCCTGGCTTTGTTCTTCCTATCCTACCTGACAATGACATACCCTCTGATACCTAGTTAGCCAGGTAGTACAGTGTATAGAGCACTGGCCTGGAGTCAGGAAACCTGAGTTCAGATGTGGCCTCAGACACTAGCTGTGTGACCCTGGGCAAGTTTTCTCCACTTAAAATGGGGATGATAATAGCATCTACTTCCCAGGGTGGTTGTACAAGTCAGTAGCTGATATTTGTTAAATGCTAAGCAAGGTTTGGGCACATAGTAGCTCTTAATAATCCTGTTTCCTTCCTTCCTTTGTCTGGATTCTCCAAACACCCTTGCCCTCCTCCTTTCTAACCCTGGAGCCCTAATCTAGTGAGTACAACCTTTTTACTATGGCTGTATCTCTCACCTCCCCTTTGACTTTATAAACCAATCCTTTGGCCCCCTCTGGGTCGCTCTTCCCTTAAATATGGTATTTCTCCCTATTTGTTTATAAGCGCCTTTAGGGCAGGGATTATCTCCCTTTTGTATTTGTGTTCCCAGCATAGTATGTGAGGGCTTGAACCTTTAATGAGCTGAGGCTTACAATAATAATTATTATAATAAAAGACATTTATGTAATGTTAAAAGATTTGCGAAGTTCTGTATACACTTCATTTTGATCTTTTCAGCTTCATGAGATAGGTAGTATAAATATTATTTTCATTTTACAGATAAGAACTGAAGCTTATAGAGATTTAGTGATTTTTGCCTGAAGTTTGAGTTACTGAGTACTATGCTGAGGACAAAAAAGGATGCTTTTAAATATATTTGGTACAAAACCAGCTACGAAAATGAAGATGTTCACTGTTTGGCCTAATGATTTAATAATAGGTGATAGAGATGTTCGAACTACTCAGTTCTTTCCTTTTCTCCAACAAGGAGAATGGGTTCCCAGACTGGAGAGGGTAAAACAATGCAAATAGGACGGGGTTACAGTTCAAAAGTAGATGAAATAGTAAGAAAGCATTTAGTTACCTTAAGGGGAGTTCACGTCTGCCACCCCAAGTATATTGCATCCCAGGGTACTGAAGTACCTTGCAAATGTTACTTCAGTTATTGTTGATAATCTTGAGTCAGCAAACATTTCTTAAGCACATATTATGTGCCAGGCACTGTGCTAAGTGTTAGGAATACAAAACAAGCAGAAAGAAAAACATTGTTATTAAGGAAGACAACCTGAAAAAGGGAGCTGAAGGAGGAGTGAGAATGAAGGTACTCAGCCTGGCCAGGGGGTCATTGTAGAGAAAGTCAGAACTGTGGTCTAGAGAGGAATGAAAACGTAATTGGCCTAAACTTCTTAAAATGCAGTTTCTAGGAATAACCAGCCAATTAGATGGAGAGGCTGCAGGGGTGAAGGCTGCTTCCAGTGGGAGTAGTCATCCAGGGTGACTTCCAGGGTGAAGAAATTTCCATGACATTGTAGAGAAAGCCTGTGGAATTCAGTCAGAAGTGATGCTCACTTTATCCGGATGTGTCACTTATCTCTACTGTACAGAGAACTTTGTGAACCCCAAGAAAGGCCACCACCATAGCATCCTGAGACAGAAATGTAAGAAACTTGGAAATATGCCAGAAGATGGGAGTTGAACAAATAAATGTCTAATTTTCAGAAAGGGGAAACTAATTGGATTCTCCCAGATTCCAGGCCAGTAATCTTGATGTAGAGACTACCATTGGACATGTTTCTAGAGAAATCAAGGTGTGGTAGAAAGAGCACAGACTTTATAAAGCATTAGAAGGTCTGGATTTGAATACCTTCTCTGCTAGAGGCACAGTGGATAGAATGGTGGACCTAAGTTCATATCTGAATTCAGACACTTATTTATCTTGTGACCCTGGGCAAGTCACTTAACCTCTGCCTCACTTTCCTCAACTGTAAAATGGAGACGGTCTACCTCCCAGAGTTGTTTTAAGGTTCATATGAGATACCCGTGAAGCATCTGTAAAGGACTTGATACATAATAGGTGCTTAATAAATGCTTGTTTCCTTCCTACTTGTTACCTGAAATTACCTTAAGCAAATCACTTCATTTTCTTCTGCTTTAGTTTTCTCATCTGTGAAATGAAGTGATTGGACAAGATCATTTCTATCTCTAAATTATAATAATTAATTAAACAAGTGGTTTGTCTCCTCAGGATGGCCCACGTTGATCTACTAAGATGAATTGAATTTGAAAATATGAATTGGTTTGTGGTAAGGCAGCCACCCTCTCTCTGGCTGAAAATGTCTGGCATCTTGGAGGAAAGAAGTGATATATATATATGTAGATATATCTATATATATCTATATCTATATATATATAAATAGAGAGAGAGAGAG